TGGCGCCCGAAATCAGATTTTGACGTATATAGCATCATTACTGTACAGAGTTTAGGAAGGAAGTTTTTTTTAATGAAGATAATGAAATCTGCATTAAAAATACAACATGCATAGAATTTTTTATTTGAAATTATATAGTTTCCGAATTTCAGCTCTGAGTCTACACTTAATTTACGAATTAACATATGTTTTGATATATTGTGATAGTATACCTGTAAGGGAAGTACCGATATCTGTAGGATCTTTTACAAATATTCAGTGCTGTCTATACACGATGTTTTCAAACGTGAGCCATCTAATTATACTACAATGTACAATCTATCAAAATATGCCATTTCTCCAGAAATCACGAACTTATTTGAAATATGCTAAATAACGGAGGTTATTCCATCATTTGGATACTTTATCAAATCCCTGGAGTACTTATGTTACTTTTCTGTGGATGCCTGGATACTAGGTGAAGGGCAACAAACAATCCGACATCAACTCCAAGTTATGTTATTTCAATGGTACCACAGTTGCGACGAGAACAATTATTTCATATTTGGCAAAGGGATTGACACATTCGAAAGTATTTCTGCCTGAATCATCAGAGAACATAACCATCAAGCAGATCCTAGAATGGAGTAGGATTGATCTGCGATTTCAGTCAGGATTGCTCACAGGACAATGCCTTCCGAAATACCGCCTGGAAAGGAAAAATCTGGAATAGCAGCTGTCGGTTTTGTTGCTGTGTTGGAAACAGCTGAACAGAAAACATGTTCATGCTCTTGGTGAGAGAGTAAAAGGCTCAACATCGGAGAAAAAGTGATTGCACAGTTAATTGCATAATCTCTGGGTTGAGACACTTGATACCCATTTGGGTTGACGGTGGAGGAGCCGATTTCGCCCCACTGTAAGAAAGCTACTATGAATAGGTTTCCATCATTCATTAGAATATCATCGAATCAATCCTTAGCTGGTTAAAATTACATCGCCAGTTCATCGAAATCGAGAGCCGAACCGAAATAATAGTTTACAACCCTCTTGTAGTTGATCATTATAACGGCATAACCGTTTTGATATGTTGCGACCAGAATACTCATAGATTTGAGTAACTATCGTCATATTAGTATAAGATGAATAAGGACATGGTATCGAGAGATATAGTTGTTGTTTTTTTCACTTTGCCTTTTTTCCAACAACCCGATAACATTTTTGGATTGTTAAACGGACAAGGCTAGCTCGCTCCATCTGAACGAGGTCCAAATAGATTTCTTCAAACACATAAGTACTGTAAATGATCTGGGTTTATTGTTTTTCTGCCCATGCAAACGCAACCATAATATACTACGTATGTTTTCTCGGATGAATAATAAAATTGTCAAGTGAATCCTGTTGGGTTTGAAAAATATGTTGAATGTTATTTATGGTTTCCTTTGGATATATTCAATAGTTGAGAGATTTCTAAATACCACCCAAACGATGGACTAACAACACATGATTGGCCAGATACAATTTGGCGCTGGGTTTTCGCTTCTCTCATGTCACGTGATACACTAACTATACGAAAGTAATGCTTGTCACAATTTTATGGAAGTTCGTTTTTGAGTTTTGTTCTGTTCAGTTGTGATATACGGAACGCTGGTAAAGTAATCTGTTATTTGAAATATTCACTTTCATTATGAGTTGAAGACTTATCAACTACTCCAGTTGCAAACTCAATCATCATGGTTCTTTATGGTTAATATTCAATTACCATTATTTCTTGACTAGTCTTTGGATGCAGTGAATATCAAGTCAGTTTTATGTCATTTAGTTAGGTCCAGATCCTATTTTCATTCACTTCCATTTATTTATTATCCATCTGATAATAAACATAGTTAATTCAGTTAGGTAATCGAATAGTTTGATTTATGGACCTTCTTCCTATTCCTTTTTCGGGTTTATTCGAGATTGAGAGTAAAGTTAGCGTAATTCATTGTTTCAAAGTAAAACTAAAGAGTGTCTCAAAGTAGAGTAATAGGCTTTGATTAAAGAGTATGCAAGTTCAGATATTTCACTAGTGCGATGCATATACAGTATGATGCAAATGTATGGAATACATTCATTATTTTGTAATAAGGCGACCCTACAGAAAAATCCTGATACCCGTCGATTTTTATTATCGAACGCGCATTCTGTCAAATATTTTTGATACGCATGACGTCATTGGTGTGAGCGTGATGACGTCATCGATGATTTTTTTAAATGGAAATGTGGGTCATGTGATATGTCATTGGAAAGGTGTTTCATTTACCTATCCAACCATATCGAAAAATTTGTCTAATTGTTGTTGTATGCAGAAAAAAATTGATTTTGAAATTACAGATCACTCATTACAAAATTATTGAATTCTGTGTCCAATTAATGATTTTCGAATCTCTGTAAGTAACCAAGATCTAATTTTGAAAAGGCCGTACCTGGGAACGAAATGATAGCTTCTTACTTGATTTTTTGCCGGTTCACACATGTGGGTCTCATCGAAACTGCTACATTCGAATTAAACTCAATCGGCTTGTCGAATGTTAATGGTTATACCAGTAGAAATATTCAAAAATTATCAATATGAAGCTCACTGACACAGAAAGAATCGAAATTCTTATAATGATTGGTTGTGAAGACAAAACACGAACGCAAAAAGAAGTTTGTACTCTGTTCAATAATAAATATCCCAACCGAGAACCAATTTCACAATCCACGGTGAGCAAAATTGAAAAGAAATTCAGAGAAACGGGTCATGTGAAAGACCTACCCAAAGGTAGTAAGAAACAAATTCCAGGGGACAAGAAACTAGATGTTTTACTAGCTTTTCAAGATAATCCCCATACCAGTTCAAGGCAAGTAGCATTAGATAATGACATTAACCATTCAACAGTTCTTAGAACGCTAAAAAAGAAAAAGTGGCATCCCTACAAAGTTAGTTTAGTTCAGGAGCTTCTGGAAGGCGACTTTGATAGAAGAATTGAATTTTGCGAAATTATGATGGAGAAAAATAACACAGATCCGATGTTTTTCCGAAAAGTTCTTTTTTCTGATGAAGCTACATTTCTCCTAAACGGTCATGTCAATCGTCAGACGTGTCGGTATTGGGCTACTGAAAATCCACATTGGATGCAGGAATATCATACTCAATATACAGAAAAATTGAATGTTGGGGCGGGAATTATAGAGAATATGATAATAGGACCATATTTCTTCGATGAGTCCTTGACAGGTCCTCGATATTTAGAATTTCTGCAAAACTTCTTGCTACCCGAACTGAATCGGCTGTTCCCAAACAGAACTGATTTGTGGCTGCAGCAAGATGGTGCGCCGCCACACTATGCTGTCGTGGTGAGACGCTACTTGAACAACGTCTTTCCAGATCGGTGGATAGGAAGAAGAGGAGCAATTGAATGGCCACCTAGGTCGCCAGATCTAACACCTCTGGATTTCTTTTTATGGGGATACTTGAAAAGTAAAGTTTACCAAAATAGACCACACAATATCCGTGATCTCAAAGACCGTATACGCATCGAGATGGGACGAATCACTCAGGACGTTATTGGCAGAGTTCGAGAAGAATTTACTGCTCGTCTATCCCACTTTCTTATAGCAGATGGTCGGCAGTTTGGACATTTGCTTTGAAGTTGTTTGTATTCATTGAATGGGAATTTTCTTTTATTACTACAATTGTTTGTTAGAATAAAAACCCAAATTACTTGAAATCATTAATATGATTGGATAGGTAAATGAAACACCTTTCCAATGACATATCACATGACCCACATTTCCATTTAAAAAAATCATCGATGACGTCATCACGCTCACACCAATGACGTCATGCGTATCAAAAATATTTGACAGAATGCGCGTTCGATAATGAAAATCGACGGGTATCAGGATTTCTCTGTAGGGTCGCCTTATTACAAAATAATGAATTTATTCCATTCATTTGCACCATACTGTATACACATGGATGTGTCGCAAGCTGCTAGCTGGTAAGGTAAGGTAAGGTAAGGTAAGGTAAGGTAAGGTAAGGTAGGGTAAGGTAAGGTAAGGTAAGGTAAGGTAAGGTAAGGTAAGGTAAGGTAAGGTAAGGTAAGGTAAGGTAAGGTAAGGTAAGGTGAGGTAAGGTAAGGTAAGGTAAGGTGAGGTAAGGTAAGGTAAGGTAAGGTAAGGTAAGGTAAGGTAAGGTAAGGTAAGGTAAGGTAAGGTAAGGTAAGGTAAGGTAAGGTAAGGTAAGGTAAGGTAAGGTAAGGTAAGGTAAGTTGATTATGATATATTGTGAATGATTATGCGGCATTTCAATACGACTTATTCAAGAACCTAATTGCCGACCTATCTCGCTCGGCAAGAGATTCTTTTTGTTGGAAATTAGAATTATATTAAATGAGTGGTTTTAAGACAGGCTAATGAATTAGTGATCAAGATAGGTTAATTGCTTATCAGAGACCACCTCGTTTACACCACTCACATGGAACCTAACCCAACCCACATGCATACTGATACTGATGATACTAAACCTCAGAGACATTATAAATAGGGACAACCAGGAAAGTGCGCTGAATCAAGTACTAGAAAAATTCTATTATGAAACATACCACAAAAATACCTATACTATACCTATTTCTCAGCCCTGTGAGTCAGAATCTATCAGATCAACGAAAAAATTGTATGTTGTATGAGAGTTCTTTTGTAGCAGATTTCAATATCTATATCTTTGCATGGAAAATATTGGTCTAAAATTTACAGGAATGGATTTTTTCCCTATGAATAAGGGCGGCTCCTCGAGCTGCAAACTTATGCTGAATCGTTACCACCAAGTCTATGATCCTTCCAAGTCAAAACTCCATTACCATGCAAGAAGATGTCTTTCTCATGTCTTTATTGATTGGACTATATAATAGCACAGAAGAAATAATGTAACGTGCAACAACATATCGAATTAATACAAATAATAGTTCATGCATAACAATGAACATGCATATGTTACAGACCTGGTAAGTACCGCGTCGAGTAGTACCCCGGGGGGTAGCAGTGGTACTGATAGTGACGAGTATAACTTGGCGGAGCCGGCGGAAAGATGCCCAGATCTGAAATATATACATCATTGTGCAAACTATATACAGTGATATCGGAATTCAAGGTGCAGGTTCATACCGGATGATCATTCATAATGTTCAATATATGTACATGCTTGCCTTCTATTATTGCACATTGAAGAGATTATTTTTTAATTGACTCGGCCGTTACTTGATGGAAATCGATGGTAAATGTAAAAACTCCACAAACGATAAGATTTCCACAAAATTCTCAAACACACGACATTTTTCGCTAACACAGTAGCTTCGTCAGGTGATATACTGGTACGATGAAGTAAACTAACCTTGGTTTGCTTATATATCTTGCTTTCCCAACCTGAAGGATCAGTTACCTGTGGACAGGTTCGATAAACCTCCATTTTCGGGAATTAGGCACAATATCTACATTAAAATACGTTGAATCGGATTAACTTGAAAGGATTGAATCAAATACATGTTATTACTTACTAAGAAAACAAATTCAACAGTGGTGAACTATTGAGGTCTAATTAATCGTTAAGTAAAATGTTAGAAGTTTTGAGTTTGTTGATTTCTAATGATTCAAAATGATTGAGTGTCATTCCTTTATTTTCTCCGTAAAGAATTCCGAAATTATCATCAAAACTGTGGTTTTCTCCTAATATATGGTTGGCGTATGTTGAATTTGTTTTCTTTTTCAAAAAATTCATCTTATGTTCATGAATGCGCTGATTGAACGTACGACCTGTCTGACCGATATATACCTTTGGTCCTTAGGACAAGATCCACAGTTGAGTTTGGAAAATCACCTGGTAGGTATATTATGAGTCCATCCAAATTCGACATTCGAATAAATGGGTAGATTGTAGATTGTAGATTGTAGATTGTAGATTGTAGATTGTAGATTGTAGATTGTAGATTGTAGATTGTAGATTGTAGATTGTAGATTGTAGATTGTAGATTGTAGATTGTAGATTGTAGATGGGTCGTATAGGCTGAGAGACCTCTCGATCACTGCGACCTAGAAGATCTATTGTGATTACCCCTATCTAGTTTTGGTCCTCTAACCCTAGACTTCTGATGAAGCCTACGATTTTCCTGACGGTTGACTTTTCCACTTCAGCAGGGGTGAGATAGACCTGTTCTAGGTGGTTCAGCCTTTGGCGGACTAATACTTCACATGAGCAAAGTAAATGGGTCTTTTGTCAGCTATTTATAGAATGTAATCAATGGGCTTGTACACACTAGTGGAACTTATGCCATATATCTATCCTATTTTGACACTTCTTGTAAAGTTTATGCAAAGTCAGTTGAACAAGTCATCAAAGGAATGTCGGGTCGCGCTGCCACACTCTTTGAACTTTTAAAGGGACCGACGGCTGGCGGTGATGTGTTTTTCCAACTGACTCACTGTTGCTTCTAAGACATTACTAAGCATTTCTGGGGTATTCTATTGAATGCTCAGTTCTTCTTCATCATCAAAGTTATTTGCGTATACAAAGTTTTTGATATATCCCCTAAGAAAAAATCCAGCTGTGTCAAATCAGGCGACTGCGCCGGCCAAGGGACTGTAGAATGAGTACCAATCCATTTTTCTGGATAAAAACGCACGGACTTCTCTGGAATTATGTACCGGAGCACCATCTTGTGGAAACCAACAGTTCTGAACTACCGCAATCGGTAAATCATCCAGAGCTTCCTCAAGATGATTCTCAAGCAAATTTCTATAACGTTCGGAAGTCTGTGTTTCATGGTAAATAAAAGGACCAATAATTCGTGTGCCAAATATTGCAACCAACATATTGAAGCCGAAACGGTGTTGGTGTATGGTGTATCCCTGTAATGTATTAATGTTCATTTTCTCGTGAACAATAATGTGTATTTTTTTCTATTGAAGATACCATGATTAGTGACCATGCTTTCATCAGTCCAGATGAGTTCGAGGGAAATCTGCAAAATTTTGACATTTCCTGGTATACCACTCACAGAATGTCCTGCTCCTTTCGTCATCGCCTGGTTTTAGCGCTTGACATATTCTGTATTTGTATGGATGGAATGTTTGTTTCCGCAAAATGAAATGGGTTGTTGATTGAAACCAGTTGATGAGGTATTAGTGTGTTGACTAATTTTCCTTCAAAATGAATGGAACTAATGGCATTTTTCCTTTGGAATTTCGAAAAAACATTGATGATGGCCAAAAATAGGTCGAAACACACATAAAATACCTTGTTTAATACATGGTTGAATTCAGAATAAAAAAACCTTTCAGAATCTGTGGAAAAATTATCAAGACCGTATTCAAAAAACAAAAGTTGATGATGGTTTTACGAATACGAAATGTCGCATAAAAGAATCGGAATCACCACGTTAAACGTCATCAAAAGTTGCTATGGAAAATTATTTTCAGTTCTTCTGTAACTCTAATAATAACGGAGAAAAAAAAATGATATAGATATTTCAAAAATTCACTTTTTTCGATATAAATCAAAAACTAGAAATAATTTCAAAAACTTTCAGAGGCTCTTGATATGAGCCTCCGAATGCGCAACTTTTTCCCCATTTAACCGACTTCGTATCTCCTACCGATTTCGAGATCCCCATGCTGTTCTACCTTATCTTGGACATACTGTATATAAAACTTGTAACATAATTGATAGTAATTGCTAATTAGAATGGTCAACTCTGTTTGTGGTTGTCTGCTTTGTATACCCATACCTTCTGGCAAAAGATACAGCAACAGATGGAAGACAGACTCATTTCATGAATTCAACATTATCGAAGATACATTTAGAAATTTAGCCTGCGGTATCATCTGAAATCAAGTTCAGTCTAGTTAGAGAAAAAATATTTCAAGTCTTGTTATAATGACCTTAAGTTCCTTTTATGGTCTTCGATAAAAGAGGAGTGTTTTTTATCATCGACATGAACTATAATAATAACAATCAAATTAATTTAGCATTTATGAATAAATTGATCAGGTTTTTTATCTCTTTTGTCTGACAGTTGTTGAGGAGTTTATTTATTTATTATGATCCTGAGAAAATCATGGAGGTCCAATTTCAAAATAATGTGAGTCTATTCTTGATTTATATTGTAGGATTCAGAAGCGCTGTCTCGAAAATATAAAAATAATGATAGTCGGTAACAAAATGATTCATCAATATAGGCTGTATTTTCATCTTTAATATTGTTATGCAGATGGAATAGACAGTTAATTTCAATAATGTGAAATATACTGTCTGTAGGTTAATCGAAGAGGTGGTACATTCATTATTCCATATTTTTTTGGGATTTTCATTACTCGTCTCTATATAATAAAAATATAAATACTGTTTCAATATACACGTAGTGATGAAAATTCAGATGATTTGCCCCAAAATGTCACTGCGTTTTCAAGAATTTCCCTATCAGAGAGCCTGAAAGAAAAATTCACTAGCTTGTGAAAAATCAAGGAATCTGCTTGCATTCTTCTGAACGGAGTATTGCTTCCTTCTCAGATGATATAGATAGAACATGGTATTCACTACTGGAGTCTGAAGATGGAAATGGTAAATTCTAGATTAATTAATGAAAACATCCTGTAACTCATTTGATTACCAACGTCACCAATTGTCACTTAAAAAAGGACATTTTTATGTTGAAAGCGGGAGCAGATTCGGTCCCAAAACGTCCAAAGATAAGTCAAAATTTGATTTTTCTACTATATACCTATATTTCTCTTCTCCAAACCTTTTTCAATAGAAATTGTCACTGACAAGCTAGTGATTTTTTTCTTTTAGGCTCTCTGATAGAATTCTTTGAAATCAGTGACATTTTGGGGCAAATCATCTGATTTGTCCTCACTACACGTATATTGAAATAGTATTTATAAGATGAGGAGAGAAAATCCCAAAAAAATCTGGAAAAATGAATGTGAAATATCATTCCAATGTCAAATTGTTTCGAGAAATTCGAAAACTTGAGGTGTTTCAAGGCTTTCTTATGGAAATATCATGATTTTCATTCAATGATTTTTTGTAGTATATACCTATACCTATATACTGTTATTTTCGAAAAAAAAAACATGTTTCCATATCGTTGGACATTCCGTGAACTAGTTATATTAAATTTCGAATAGAGTCAAAATAAAATTGGATTCAATCTAAACCTATAATGAATGATTCTAATCAGGCCAATAATCGAAAAATATACATGATAATATACTGGGTGATACCGGGTATCAGCCATCCCGTAACTTCTGCATTTGCGATCGGATTTTTCTGAAATTTAGTACATCCATATAAGCAACCATTTCGAATTTGATATCGGGATTTGATGATGATGAAAACCATCTACAGAGGAAATTTTTCAAGAGGTTGTTGCATGTATTGCACGCACAAATTGTTGGACATCCTGTATATAACAATAATATAATTGGTTATTTCATTTGAATTTGAAAATCAAGTCGAATTTTCTTTCATCAGCTACCGTCATTTGGGCAGTGTTCTGCCTTATTTATGTAGTTACCTACCTATAGGTACTTATTATTTGATTCATTTGAACAAGGTTCAAAAAAACAAATGGAAAGAACTCGGGAAAGAATTATATATATTATTCAATTTCATGACATTATGCAAGCATTTTTGTTCGCTTGTCTACGAAGTTAAAGAAAAAACAATTGTAACAGACTCTATATACAAAATCGTTGTAGCACAAGAATATCGTAATCAAGATAAGATCAACGCACTAAGATTTTGTCTTTATTTTATAATATCCTAATAACAATCGTCAAGAAATCATGAATCATCATGTCATGAGCACGGTGATGTAAATAAACAAAACAATTGTTATTATATTATTAGCCTCATATTTTTATTTACACCAAGTGATCTGGTGAGGGTACGAAAAAAAGAAAAAAAAAAGGTATGAATCTGCCATCTGAAAAAGAGATTGCAGAGATTATTTTAGAGCAATCCATCTGAACCTATTATATTTTGGAAACTGAAACCTGCAATGAATCGTCATTGAACATATGAGCTATAGCAGGAGCTAAG